TGGTAGTTGGCAACCTGGAGACAACTGGTGACTTACGGATAATATTCCTACGCCCATAATATTATAAGGGATTATGGATAGAAACAATGGGAGATTTGTTATTTGGGGAATGATAACATGAGAATGTTTCAGTCTGGTGACTTATTTGTGTAGACGGAGGAAGAAGGCGTGGGAATATAGGACAAAAAGTGAAAGTGTCATTTGGAAGCACAGAAAAGGGAGCATAAACAGCATTGTTGACCAATGCCACGAGTCGATTGAAGATGTGTTTCTGCAGTGACAAGTGACATTATTTTGCCTGGTTTTTCTCGAGCCATATTTGGCTAGTTGGATGCAGGTAAGGAGTAAATGTTCTCCCAGGGTTGAGGCTTTCCCAGACAAATAAAACAAGACAATGAGAGGCAACAAAGTGTGTTCAAAAGTGAATATAATCAGGAGGAGCTTGCACTCTAAGGCACAGCCAGTCAGGTGCTGTTGAGTTGATTCTCTCTCAGAAAGCAACCCCACAAGTGTCAGTACACAGCTGTGCTCATAGGGTTCAGAGGGTGATTTTTCAGTATACTTTCAGGTCTTTGTTCTGAGGTGCCTCTGAGTTAAGTCCAAACCGCCAACTTATCTGTTAGTAATAGAGAACTTGACCAATTGCAGTGCCAGAGACTTAAGCCCTGATAAGACCAAAAATGAAACTCCTGCTTTCACATGTATTCTGACCTGTAACAACACTGTTGGATCGGACAGAACTGCCCCATGAACTTTCCAAGGCTATACATCCTCACAGGAGCAGACGGTCTCATTGTTACACCCTACGGGGGTGCTCCAAAATTAATTCTGCCAAAGTCTGTAATAAACAAAGAATACCTTTATTTCCCCATATATGGAGGCTCTTTCCCACCCTCTGCGTACTGACCACTCACAGAGGGAGCAAAACAGAGAGAGTGCGCCTGCCCAGCTCCGGCTTATAAAGGATGCTCGGAGATCATCCGCTCAGGGCGGGGTGATTGGGAACATGGTTGGTGGTTGGTGGTTGGGACACTCAGTCATGTGGATCAGCTTCTGATTGGTGAACTTATCCTGCCCGCCCCTCCCCACCCCCGTGCCTCACTAGCCGCTTTCTGGCATCACATAGTCGCTTTCCTTTGTCACTTAGTCTAGGTTAATTGTTTACTTCTAACCTGATCAGATGGCGGGTCCGGAGACTTGCTGGCACCTCTGGGTTTACCCTGCTTCTAAAACTAAGACTTTTTATGGTCCTGTGTCTGCTCCTGGAGTTAATGATTCCTGTTCAAGGTTGAATTATCGCTAAGCTTTTGGGGTTGGGGGAGGTCTCCCCCGGACACCTGAAACGGGATTCATGCCTTTCCCTTACTCATCTGTCTCCCATGGAGCAGCTGGTGGGTTTGAACTGCCAACCTTGAAGTTATAAATCAAAGGGTTTAACTGCTGTATCACCAGGGTTCCTTTGGGCCTAATAAAGAGGGAGGTGAAATCTTTAAGATGCGTGGTTGGTAGTGAGGAAGTGGCAAGACTTTTGAATTGGAGCAATTGGGTGGAAGAGATGCTAGAGTGGCATTGTTAGTGGAGGAGGTCTGAAAGGACAGACGTGGGCATCAAAGGACAGGACCCTGGAATCACTGGCTTGGTGAGAGTGCTGTAATCAGACTCGTTGATCTGTTTCATACTCTGGAACACAATGAAAACTACTTTTACCAAAAATACTGCTCCAGTCAGCAACAACAAAGCCAACTCATAGCTGACCCGCCAGTAGGTTTTCAGAGGCTGTAAATCACATGGATGAAATTGTCCCTCTGTTTCCTACATAGCGATTGCTGGTTTTGAATGACAGAGAGGCTCTGCCTTTGTTTTAGCTGACCAAGTCCCACTACAAACTTCGCCACCTGAGCTCCAATATATTGGCCTACATGAAATCCATTGACTCGCATGCTTCAGTGTATCATGTTCTAGGATATGATTATGGAAATAAGAAACAAGGACAATCAGACCAATTACCTATCTAAATCATTGTAAATACAAAAGTTCATAGTAATATATCTCCCACAGAGGTCTAATTATTCTGCTTTTAAAGACTTTTCTAAGTCTCAGCCATAAGTATTTAGTCTTATGACATGTGATAACAGGTGTTTTGTTATTTTTCAAAACTCCTTACGGCAGAGATGTGAATTAAAATTGCACATTCCTTCAAGACCTCGAAGAGTACACACACGCATGCTCTAGAAGTCTGTTATAAATTAGCAATCATTTATTGCACCCCAAAATGCAAAGCAATGTCATGGCTGCTTAAAACATCCGTTTAAAAGAGCTCTATTTGTGAAAATTTTAAAAATACAGCTTAAATAACTATTTACAGGAAGATTTTTTAAGTCCCTTTAAGTTTGGCATTAATATATAACAGGGAAATTATGAAATATAAGTTTACATTTAACATACAGTGAAATATTGGATTATTGCCTTTATTTATCAAAGCTTTAGGAACTCCTAAAAACTGGTCCATTATCTAAGAGTGCTTCTCAGATGTGAACTCTTCATAAAGCTTTTTAAAGTCAAACCAATCCCTTGGCACATCATCCTTTAGATCCCTTTTGCCAAGTACTCTGTGATATTCTGTTTCCCTTCCCCACACACAGACACACACACACACACACGTGCACCTATAGGTCACAGGTCTCTGAAGTCCCTGTTCCACTGTAACAGGCCACTTCCGTCATCTACCTCTGAGCCTAGGGGAATTGGACTCTGCCTGACATCACTGTACTGTCGGTCCTCGTGGGTTGTTGATGCTACTAGTTGTCACTGCGTCAGCTCTGCCTCATGGTGACCTTCTGGGCATGGCTGCCTGGAAGGAATCAGACTCCACACAAGCCCTCCCAGGTCTCACAAGCCTTCACCTCAGACAAGGTACAGTCATTGCATTTCTAAAATATTTTCTTCTTTCATAGATTTCTGCCTTACACTGATTCTAGCTTTCCCAAGTTGCACTGTGAAATTGCCTGCTCCTGGATCCTGTGCCACCCTCAGATATATGTGCCACCCTCATGGATTTATATGAATCTATATTTGTAATTTCTGTGTTCATTTCATTGCCTTAGAGCAATTCTGACTTAAAGTTACTTTCCAGGACAGAGCAAAACTGTGTCTACCTCGTCTTTTCCTGCACAGCCACTGGTGGGTTTAAAGAGCTGATTTTTCAGTTAACAGAAGAGCATGCCACCAGGCTCCTTTGCTACTGTGTCCCACTGCTGTTCAAGCGATTGTGACACACGACAACAATTTGTTGGGTCTCAAGGCTGGAAACTCTAATGAGAGCAGACTCCCTTATCGTTCCTTGCAAAGGAACTAGTGAATTCAAACAGCTGACCTTTCTGTTAGTAACGCAAAATAGTAACACACCTCCTTTGCTATTATGTAGTGTATTCCAACCTAGGGAACTCATCCTCCAGATATTATGTCAGGAATATCTGCTGAGATCCATAAGGGTTTTATTGGCTAATTTTTGAAATTTTTGGAAGTAGATCTTTAGGTGTCTCTTTGCAGCCTTAGTCTTGAAGCTCCACTGAAGTCTGTTCACCAAGGGTGTCCCTGCTAGCATTTAAAATATCAGTGGAATAGCTGCCAGCATCAGCCTAACGCAAGCCACCACAGTATGTATGACAAACTGGCAGATGGATGGTGGTCTTTATGGCTGGAGCCTGTTTATCCTCTCATATTCCAAGGGATAATGTGATGATATCTGTACTATGTCAGCTAGTCAATGGCTCAATTGTCCAAGACCTGCAGCATTATGATAAAACAAGACTTCTGTTATGAGTTATTTTTTTTTTGCCTGCATTGTTTCTTACTGAACAGCACATGGATTTTTCTAACACCACACCGGACTCCTTAGTTTGCAAACTGTTTAAACACGTTCCTCTCCCATGTTTGCCCACACCATATATCTGCGCTGTCAAAAAACTTCTCTCTTGACTTCTCTCAATTGCCTTTATTCTTCTTCTGCTCTGTCACAAAGATAAATGAGTGTGCTTACTTAGTTTAGTTTAAGGCATAGTCTTATCGAGAGCATTTTTATAGACATCCATAGCCAAAAAATAATGCAAGAGCAGGCTTACAGGAGCTATTAGTTCCAAAACATTTACAGGAACTGTATAACTCTGGGATCTTTCTTTCCTCCACATTGTTGTTCACTCGGGAAGTGGAGGGAAGAGTCCATAAAAGGGTTGAGTCAATATGTTCTTGTCATCTTTGTTTTTGACAATTCCTTCTGTCATAATTACTGGCTTTCATTTTTCTTTATTAAATATTTCTGGGAAAGCCTGTCCCTACCAAGTTCTAGATAGATCACTGAAAGGAAAAAACAATTCTACAAAATCAACAGTGTTTTTCTAAGATGAGAGAATAACCACATTTTTATGGGAATCTGACCCCAAATTCAAGTTGGCATTGACAATTTCTAGCTTGCAAACCAATCCTTGGAAGCAATGGCTACACTAAGAAGGTGGGGGAAAAATCATGGAGTAAGTCATGATGGTGTAGCCAGACCTGCAGAGCTTCAAGTCTGATGATGGTGAAGGAGGTGACAGAAATGCATTTTTCCACACTAGCAGAACTGTATAAACCAATCAAGAACAAGTGTCAGCAGCTATCTCAACATGGGAGCATGGAGTCTAGGCCCACCCCTTGAGGGAGATGCGACAGCATCACCTGTCAAATTGAAAGTGGCCTGTGGAGAGCACCAGCTCCCAGCTGAGGGGCAGCCACTCAGCTTAACATCCTTGCCCAGTGAAACAGCGAAGAGCTCTTGTGTCTACTTTTAAATGCACATTTTTAATATTCAGTCTAATGCTATTCTTTAACAAACTCTTGACTCCCTGCTTCTCTGATGAAGCCTCCTGCGGTCTTTAGAAGGATTGTTAAACCATGAACAGATCGCGGTCTTTCTGCATGAGCAGGCCAGGCAGCACGCCATTAAGCCTTCCAGTATCACTCACCTCTGAGGAGATGAGCGAGTTGCTCGGTGATGAGCTCAGGAGCCTCCTGGAGAATCTCATTCACCACGAGGGAGGAGGAAGACTCTGGGACGACAAACCCAGCCTCGCTCTGCTCCAAGGGATTAATGATTTTGACAACGGCTGACTCTAAGGTTTGGTCCTCGCTGTAAACCACGGGAGAGAGAGAGAGAGGGAGAGATGACACATCTTCTTCTTGCTTTTGTAATTATTTAATCTCTATTCACACACCAATGCTACCCTGTATCCTTTCTTCTGTTCTCAATAGCCAAAACCATCAGCACGCTCAAATGGCTCCAAATAGTAGTTTATTTAAAGTGGGTTTGGTTTTTCAATCCAGATAATTGTCCTTTCATCCCAGATTCTTAGACTACCATCAACCTTAGTGACTGTGTCTCTTATAATAATAAAAGTTACAAAAAAACTTCTCATCATTGATTTGGTTCTGTCTTTTGTTGTTGTTGTTGTTGAATCATCATTTAATTCCGTTTAACCTTCAAGTTACTGTTGTATTTTTTATTGTTTATAATATGCATTCTTTACAACTCAAGCAATCCACTACTAAGTTTGGACCATGGGAAAAGTCTAGCATCAGTATATGTGAGGCATGCACCATGCTGTTCTTTGCATCATTGTTTGCCATCCTAATGGTTGAATAAGCTTTATTTTTTTTAACAAGGTATTTATTATGAGATACTAGTTTACATCACTGCTTCTCAATCAAGAGCACTTCTGATTCTGGAGAACAGTTGACAATGCCTGGAAACATGGGTCGTCACAAATGGAGATAAACCGTGCTACCTTGTTATTGTTATTAGGAAATAAGAGGATCTTTTCAGTGACTAGCATCCAATAATGCTGCCAAACATCGTATACTGTCCAGGATTCTTCACAGAACAAGAAGAATCCACCCAAAATGCCAATAGTCATTGGTATTGAGACAGTTCTAACTCACAGCAGCCAAGTGAAACACTGCCTAGACTGGAGTCTTTCTCACAATCCATTGTTGTGTTGAATCCATTATCACTGATACTGTGTCAGTTTCTCATTGAATACCTCCTCCTTTTCTATGACCTTCTACTTTCTCATTTACAATCAGAAAAAGTGTGCATTAGAGTTGTAGAGTTGGTTCTATCTTGCAGTGACTCCATGGCACATGACAGAACTGTGCTCTGCAGCATGTTCAATGGCTGGGTTTGGGGAATTAGAGTGCAAGATCTTTCTTCAAGGTGCCTCTGGATGGTCTCAAACCTCCACCTTTCTGGTAGGTAGCCAAAAACTACTTTTACACCAGGGGTATAAAATAATAATGCATAACATTCATTCTACTTCCATGACATGATAGACACTGTTAAAAACACTTTAATTATAATATCATCTTTTTATACTACAAAACAGTCTTATGAAATGCTTTCTATTAAGCTTCTCATTTTAAAAATGAGAAAACTAAGACAGAAAGAGCTTAAGAAGTTTATCAGACTCGTACAGTCACTAAGGCAATGTGCTAATATTCAAACTCTGGCAATCAGGCTCCAAATATTCATTCATTCACTACTATAGAAAAATTAATATTGGACTAATTGTCAACAGTGTTCTTAAAAGGCAGGAAGAAAGGCACAGATATAGCTAACTTTAGTCTTTGTGCTCATCAAAAACAAATGAATAGCAAAGGAAGAAATTAATAAACTTATTTTTTTAAAGAATTCTGCTTCATAAGTAATACCAAAGCTAAAATTAACATTTTCATTTCAAAACCAAAATAACTATTTCTATGGATATTAGTATAAAGATTATTTATAAAACTTTTAATAACACATTGTTTCATCTTCTGGCTTCTTGTTGTCAGGTACCATTGAGTCTGTTCTGACCCTTAACAATTGTATCATCCTCCAAATCAACACTGTGATTGAACTCATGCTGCAGCTCCTGTGTCAATTATTCTCATTCTTCCTATTTTTCAACGACTCTTTACTTTATCAAGTGTAGTTCACTTCTCCAAAGACTACACCTCTTTATAACAAGGCCAAAGCATGAGAGTTGGAGTCTCACTATTTCACTTGCAAGGAGCATTCTGATTACAGTTCTTCCAAGACAGATTTGTTTCTTTTTCAGCAGGTCCTGGTACATACAACATTTTTTTTTCATTAACACCACTATTCAAAGCCATGAATTCTTCTTTAGTCTTCCTTGTTCTGTTAAACTGTTAAACTTTCAGGTGCATATGTTGTTATTATTGTTGTTGTTATTGTTGTTATGTGCCATCAAGCCATCCATGGCTCACAGTGACCCTAGGAGAATGGCTCTGAATCCTGCCTTATCCTGAGCTTGTCTCACTGACTCCGACCACCTACCCTCATTACCCCAGTTACTGTGGCAATCCATCTCATCCGAAGTCTCCCTCTCCTGTGCTGTCCCTCCAACCTTCTAAGCATGATGTCCTTCTCCAAGGACTGGTTTCTCCTGGCCACATCCCAAAGTATGTGAGATGGAGCTTCAAAATCCTTGCCTCCAAGGAGAAATCAAGGCTCAGATTAGATGCATCTTAGTGTTTAAAGTAATACTTGTGTTTTAGCACATTACACAAACCTTTGGCAGATCTGCCCAATGCTTGTGTCATCTCATTTCTTGACTGCCACTTCCAAGGGTTTCGATTGTGGATCCAAGTAAAAGGAAATCTTTGATCACCTCAACCTTTTCTTCATTTGTCATAATGTTGCTTATTGGCCCTTTTGTGAGAATTTTTCTTTTTATTTTGAGGTGTAATCCATACTGAAGTCCTTAACTTCATCAGCGTTTCCATATTCCTTTGTTATCGGCAAGCAAAAACTGTGTCATCTGCGTATTGCAGATTGTTAATGAATCTCCAAATCTGATGGTGGGTTCTTCTTCAGATAGTCCAGCTTCTCAGACTATTTGCTCATTGCACAGATTGAAAAAGTGTGATGAAAAGATATAGAGTTGATGCTTACTTTTCCTAATTTTAACCCATGAAATATCTCCGGCTGTGCTTGAATGACTGCTTCTTTATGTATAGTTTCACAGGAACACAATTAAGTGTTCTGGAATTTTCATGCTCCACAGTGCTATCTATAATTTGTTGTAATTCACATAGTCAAATGTCTTTGCATAGTCAACAAAACAAGTGAACATTTTTCTGTATATTCTCATTTTAGCAAAGATCTATCAGATGTGAGCAATCAATGTACAGCTTCCAGAATTTCTGAATTCTCTTCAGCAATATTTTACTTGTGTGGGATAATAACAGTACTGTTCAACGCTTTCGTAATTCTATACAATTATCTTTTTTTGAATGGACTCATACAGATCTCCTATTTGGTTTGCCAGGTAGCTGTATTCTAGATTTCTTGGCATTGACAATAAGCATTTACAGAGCAGTATCCATCTGAGGAATACCTCAATCGCTATTCCATCAGTTCCTGAAGACTTGATTACTCACCAATGTCTTCAGTACAACTTGTACTTCTCATTTCCATAACTTTGGTTCTTGATATACTACCTCTTGAAATAGCTGAACGGGTTTTTTTGAGCACAGTGCTTCTCTTTTCCTTCCATCCTTTTATTTTTCTTTTGACATTTGTTTTATTTGCATGAAAATTTACAAATCATTCATCCACACACATTTTGTTTATAATAATTAATATAATTATTAATGCAAAGGCATTTGACTGTGTGGATCATAACAAACTGTGGCTGACTCTTAGAAGAATGGGAATCCCATAACATTTAATCGTGCTAATGCGAAACCTATACTTGAACCAAGAGGCAGTAGTCAGAACAAAGCAGGGCAACACTGCCTGGTTCAAAATTGGGAAGGGTGTGCGCCAGGGATGTGTCCTATCTCCATACCTTTTCAACCTGTATGCAGAGCAGATTATCGGAGACGCTGGGCTCTATGAGGAGAAGCGTGGCGTTAGGATTGGTGGACGATCTATCAACAATCTGCGTTATGCAGATGACATAACCCTGCTCACTGAAACTGAGGAGGACCTCATGCACTTACTGCAGAGGGTCAAGGACTGCAGCCTTCAGTATGGACTGACAGAGATTCTCACCACTGGACCAACTGGTAGCATCAGGATGGATGGCAAAGAGATTGAGATTGTTCACAGCTTCAGTTTGTTCGGCTCCATGGTCAACACTCTTGGCACCAGCAGCCAGGAAATAAAAAAAAACATATTGCGATGGGAAAGTCTGCTGTTAGGGGCTTCTCTAAAGCACTCAAGAGCAACGGTGTCTCTCTGGAGACTAAGGTCTGCCTGATACAGGCCATGGTTTTTGCAATCGCTTGTTATGCATCAGAGAGTTGGACAATAACTATGGAGGATAGAAGGAGAATTGATGCCTTTGAGCTGTGATACTGGAGAATAATGTACCATGGACTGCCAAGAAAACAAACAGATTCATCTTAGAGAGGATTAAACCAGGCTACTTCTTGGAGGCAAGGATTCTGGGGCTTCGTCTGACACACTTTGGACATGTTGTAAGGAGAGACAGGTCTTTAGAGAGGGCCATCATGCTGGGTAGAGTAGAGGGACAGCGCAGGAGGGGAAGATCCTCTATGAGGTGGATTGATTCAGTGACTGGGGTAATTGGGATGGGTGTGTCAGAGGCAATGCGATTGGCACAGGATAGAGCAGAGTTTAGGGCTGTTGTCCATAGGGTCGCTATGAGTCGCAAACGACTCGATGGCACATAACAACAACAAAAATTACAATGTTGAATCATACACTTAATGTATATTTCCTTTCACTTCATTCAACTTACTGGTCCTTAGTTACTCATCGATTTTTGCTCCCCCTCTTTCCCTTCTGACTTCTGTTAACCCTCCAAGATTTCCTCGCCTGTTTTTATTAGTGATTGTTGTTGTTATGTGCCAGTGAGTCAGAACTGACCATAGGTGACCCTCCAGTGGGCTTTCAGAGGCAGTAAATTTTAAAGGTAGGAAATTGTGCACTCTTCCCCTGCAGACCAGCTGATGTATTCAAACCATGTGCCTTTTGCATTGCTGGGCAGCTTCTTACCACCAAAGCTCCCTATTATACCATAATTGTCCTTTCATAACTGTCTTATGTCACTCAGAATTAATGTTCTACATTAATCTATGTTGTACAGTATTTAATAAATT